TTCTGGGACCTTCTTGGTGTCATGACAGGCGTCTTGGAAGACATCTGGAGCCATCGGAGCGCGTTCCGAAGCCGCTTGCGAACGATCTTGGACGGCGTCCGGCGGCCCGACGAGCCCCCGGGACCCCCGGGGCCCACATTTGTGGTCGGGGTCCCGGCCCCGGGCCCCCGGACCCGGTGCGCCGTTATATGTATAAGCGCTGGAGGGGAAGAAGGTTGGCGTCAGCCAGAAGCTAGTGTAGCGATCGAATCGCGTTCATGGGAGAGAAGCGACTGGGCCATGGCTGTACGCGGAGCTGGACGGTAGGAGACTGCGATCGCTGTCCACTTCATGCCCGATGGCGCCGCCCCCTCTAACGCGAAATGCACGCGGCCTGTTCGACTACAAAAACCAAGACCGCCCTTGCAGCTACCATCAATTTTTTCGCTGCCTGCAATATCTACGATGAAAGAGAGCCAGCCTCGCGCGCCCCCGCCAGCCCCGCCCGAACTGACACAGGTCAAACACTCTGGTGTCCCCTATATCGCTGCACGATACTTACAAGCTCGGGTGCGCGCCAGATTCGAGTTGATCTGGCGTTCTAGAATGGTCGGAACTTCATTACGACACAACGCTCGAATAATACGCAAAGCACACCTGAATGCGTTGTTGCCTCGCCTGAGCTCAACGCACTGGCGAGACGCAAGGAGGGGCTCAGGCAGCCCCCGGGGCTTTTTTCCACAGAGCGGATCGGGCCATGCCGCCCGCGATCCGCTGCGCCCCCCCAGGCATCGCACGGCAGGCCCACCGCTGCCACCAGCACCTCGCCTAGGCGTATCGCAGCGCCCAGACGTTTCAGCACTCTGTCGCTGGTCAGGTCCTCTGCTGGTCCGCGGGCGCGATCAAACGCGCGAGCGTTGCAACCCTGCTGGGCCGCCGCTCGAGCGACCCCTGAGGCGCCCCAGTAGAGGGCGATAATGCACCGACCCTTGAAGTGACGCGCCAGGGGGGCGCCGCGCCGCGCGGTCTGCCTTGGAGCATGTCCTCGAGCGCTGCTTCGCAGGACTCGATCAGCCCCCGCGCGGGAGCTGACAATCGTTCACAGCTCTCTCCCAGCCTGGCCCCCTTCTCGCACCGTTGGACCCTCTTCGCGCTCGCCCACTGACCGGGCGTTGCGGTAGCGCCGCGCGATGTCGATCGACGGTCCCGAGTGCCTTGTCTGACGTGGCACGGTGGCCTCGCTGATCTCGAGCCCAGCCAGCGCAGCTGTGAACTCCATCAGGTACTGCGGGTGCGTGAACGTCCAGACTGACCCCTCCCGTGGCCCGCTGGCCAGCACTCTTGGGGTCGGTCCCAGAAGCTGCAGATGTGGGGAGTCAATCGCTATACTGACGTCGCTGAGGTTCGTCTTGCTCCGCTCCGCGTGATGCGAGGGGGGCGCGGCCAGGTTCCAGAATGGAGAGACCCCCGCAGCGGGCGCAATGATACCGCGGCGACACAGACCCATCAGCTCTATCGGCCTCAAGTAACTGCTGGGGGATATCAGGAGGAACACAGCCATCTGCAACAACCCCCGCTCCACCAGCCGCCAAGCTACGCCGGCCCACTGGGCGAGCGGCCAGCTCCGCCGACTGCGACCCGGCGCCCGGCGCCGCCACCCCTTCAGGCAGCGAAAGGCCCGGGGGAGCTGGCGGCCACCAGCCCGCGAGAACGCCGGCGCCAGGCGCATCGAGCCAGCCGAGACCTGCTCGCCCTTGTTCGCGCCCCAGCCCTTGAAGAACAGGATGTTGAAGTAGCCCACCAGCGCGGCGCCCGCCTGCTCGTCGCGAACCAGTGGGTGACCGCCCGCGAAGCCGATGAAGCCGCCGACCTCGGTCTCGCATCGCCCCAGCACCTTTGGAGTCGCCGAGCTCTGCTCGAGGAAGGTGCTCGTGCCCGGCGCGGCGGTCGCAAGGGCGAGGTCCAGGAATTTGCGTCGCCTCTGGTGGCCCGTGCGCTTCAGCGCTGCCCGCCGAGCGGCGCCGGGTCCACCCCTCGCCTCGTCGTCGGCGCTGCTGCTCTCGCCGACGTCGGCCGGCGTCGGCTCGCGGCCCAGCTGCTCATCGTTCTCGAAGAGGCCGAGCTCCTGGCAACTGCAGTCCAGACGATCGCGCAAGGCCAGCTGGACGTCCTGCGGGCGGAGAGTCGTCCTCCGCTGCTCGGCCAGATACGCGCGACCTCGTTGGCCCCTGGACGGCCGAGGCCCCGCCGGCGGCAAGCTCGCCTGCCGCCCCCTGGCCGCCATAACTGCAGTGGCCTGTGGGCTCGGGAGAAAGACGAAGAGAACGCGGTAGATCTCGGGCCAAAATGCCAGCGGGCTTGCAGCGAGGGGCTGCGGAAACAGGAGCGGCTAAGTTACAATTGCTCGGGGATTGCAGGTATTCAAAAGTCCCCTTAAAACTTTTGCCTTGGGCACTCGCAGAAGGCATCTCATCGATCAACGTCTTTCCAGCAGTGCTATCCTCAAAAAACTCGGGCACCCTTGTCCGAGAAATAAATTTAGGAGGGGCCCAACGAATGACACCAATGACATTCCTGGCCAAACCGTGGGCCTGGAAAACTCGAATCTGGAGCAGGGGCAGGAATTTGTCGGCGCGGCTCTGGCCAAAAGCAAGGGTGACCGACATATTATCACAAAGAAGCAGCTGTCTCATATCACTGACGCGTGCGCTGGTCACAACACGAATGAACCCTTTTCACTAAGGCTCGAGCTTCCTTGATAGGAACGCCTTCGACTCTCTTCCATTTTTGCACTCTCACTAAACGCCGGAGATCTGACTTCAAGAGACTGGCGGGCACCTCAGGAAAAGACTTGTCGATTTCCCAATCTCGCGCCGCCTCCGAGGGCGGCTCGTCGCAGTCCCACTCATCTGGCCCCGAGGCGACCGACCAGCTCCCGTCCGCCTGCCGCCTGAAGCCCGCGGTCTCGACGGCGCTCTCTCGGGCGCGACGAGACCCGACCCGCCGGTAGCGCTGGCGCTCGGAGGTGCGGCCCGCCTCCCTCGCGGCGCCCAGGGGCCAGAAGGCCCGCGCCACGGCGCAGCCCTCGCGGCTGCTGTCGGTCTGCGCCACCAGATCGCTCCAGCCGCGCAGCCAGTCGCTCACGCCGATCTTGTCGGCCTCCTCTGCCAGCCCAGGCCTCGCCACCAGCGGCGGCCCGCAGTCCTGCAGAGGGGGCCCCGGCAGCGAGGGCGCAGACCTCGCCACCATGGCCTTGTTGATCATCTGCGCGATCCACAAGCTCGAGGTGAAGCCCATGGGCAGGACGGCCCAGCGTGGAGTCAATGCCTCCGCGCGGCCGACCCGGCGGCCGTTCGCCACCATGCCCGTCACCCCCATCGCGCAGGCCGGCGCCGGGGGAGGCAGAAGTAGTCAGGCAGCCACGCAGGCGCGCGCAGCCGATGGAAGCAGTTCGAGACGTCGGAGAGACTGACCGCCAGGTAGAAGTCGCTCAACAGCTCGACAGCCCGCTCGGAACCCAGCGGCGCGTCGGCGGGAAGCTCCACCTCCACGCGGGAAACGCCCCTCCGAACTCAGCAGAGACGCGCCTGGCGGAGCCTTGAAGCACTCGTTGGCCCGCCTGGCGTCGACGATGGGGCGCTGGGCCGCGCCGCCGCCCTTCTCCACCGCGAAGAGGACCACCTGGCACTTCGGGGTGGACGTCCAAGATATGATGCCGATCTCTGCTAGGCGGCGGGGCAGACAGGACAATATCGAGGTAGGGAACGGTCTCGTGCACGTCGACCGACGGCGCCAGCATGCGCTCTTGATAGTCCTCCAGGAATCCGGTGACCTCCATGGGGCGCCGCGTCAGTTCTTGGAGGACACTCCTGCACTCAGCCTGGCACTCACGAGGTCGAGCTTGAAGGACGTGACCCTTGTCGGACAGCCCGCCGCCTGATACGGGGAGCGTTCCTGAAGCAGCTTCTCCAGAGCCGCCTCGTCGCTGATGTGGGAAGGGCGCGGGTGCCAGCTGTCAGCCAACTCGCGCGTTTTTCTCTGGACGTCGGCCTACATCGCGTCGGGCACGACGTCGGGGCCGCGATCAGCCCACAAAATCCTTGCCGCCCGCCATCCAGTTCAGTACCCTCAACGCGTCATTCGCCATAGACAGACGACCTCGACCGCGCCCGGGGCACTCCGAGTCTGGCGCCAGCAGAGGAAGCGGGAACAGGCTCCGCTGTCCCCGCGAAGCCGCCAGTCCGGGGCGGCCGCCAGCCCCCTGAAACCGGCTGGTGTCGGGGACCCCCCCGCCACCGGGCCCATCATTGAGCCCCGGGGGCGCCGCCGCCGCGGCCTCAGCTTCGCCCGCCGTCGCCGCGGCCTCGGCCGCCCCCGCCTCCTCTGCCCTCCTCGCCGCCGCACCCCGACCGCCGCCCCCGCCACCGCCGAGGCCGTCGTCGTGGCCAACACTCCGGGCGCCACGCAGCGTCTGCTGTCCTTCACGACCCTCTCGCATCCTGCGCGCCACATGCGCCCTCATGGCTGGCCCCGCAGCGTCCTCGGCCGACTGCGACTGCACACGCTGCGGGTTGGCAACGACACCAGCCAGCCATTTGCAGAGCACCTTCAACACCATCAGTTCCCCAAATTCACCTGGTCGTAGCAACCGGCCATGTACAAAACCTCGCAGATGCAGCGCACCTCGTGGGCCACTCGATCCGTGTTGGCGAGGCCTTTCTCCCGGAGATACTCCCTGAGCCACAGCCGCGGGTCGCCTCCCACCCTCAGCATGCTCTTGCACGTCGTGAGGGCGCGCCGAGGCGCGCGCCAACTGATCCAGGCGAGCCCCACCGCGAGGACCGCAAGCGGGGACCTGGCCGCACTGCCGGCTGGGGCCATCATCGCCTCTACAGAGAGAAGAAGAGGCTTGAATATATAGATTATGGCAACAAAAGGCATCACCCGAACAATACCCCCTCATCTTCCCGTGCGAACACACACGCACACACACAAACTCTACTTCGGGCGGGAATGCGGCCGATTGAGGCACCTGCTAAGAATTCAAAAATCCACCGATTGGGGTTTTCTCTGGTGTAAATGTTACATGCTGAAATGCCCGTGTCCTTTCCGCCCTTTCCGCATGGAGCTCTCCTGTTCGTGATACCGCCCTTTCCCACGGCCGCCCTCCCTCCCTCTGGTAACATCACGACTCCAGCCGGCGTCATCTGGGACGGGTCTGGGGTATCACATTCCCAGAAAGGGCAGGGGCAAGTCGTTACCTCACCGGCCCAAACCCGACTAACGCCCGTTATCACCCGAGGATTCCTCTCCAGGGACTTTCCGAACTGAAAGTCGGCCTCGCAGTGATGCCCTGTTTGGTGTGCCTATTTCGGGGCGGCGGGCGGGAAGGTAAGAGAAACCTACCGATGCGGGCGACTGAGCTGAGGGGGAGAGGAGAAACAGCAGCGGGAGGACCAGGAGCGGGAGCAGCGGAAAGGCGGCGGCGGGGGTCCGAACGAGGGGGGAGCGACAGGGCCGTCTATGGGACGCAAAACAGAAGTACCAATACTGCGTAAGTGCTTCTGTGGGATACGCACGTCCGAACCGTTACCCAAGCAGTATGGTCAGGAAACGCCCGCCGCGGAACTCACACGCAACTACCAGATTTCTGAACTCGCGCGCGTCGCCCCTGCCGAGCCGACGCATCCATCATCGGAGGTTTGGGGTGAGATCGCAGTGAAAAGAGGAGCCCACCACCAGGAAATCGATTTCGTTTTCATTTCGTGCGTGTGAGCGAGGTGAAGCTGCGCGGGTGGGCGAAAAGAATGAACCTCCTCTGGCAAGGGCGCCGGCGGGCCAAAAGACTATCCCCCCCCGAGTTGGGCGGCGGTGGCCATGGGTCTTCCGCCGGGGTCTCCCGATTTATTCCGATTGGTGTTTCACTTGGTGTTCCGATGGTGTCCGTCCCGATGGTGTCCCGATGCTGTCCCGGTGGTGTTCCAGTGGTGTCCCGGTGGTGTCCCGATGGTGTCCCGTTAGTGTCCCGATGCGTCCTGGTGGTGTCCCGATTGGTGGCGATAGTGTGGCGATGGTGTGGCGATGGGGTCTCAGTGGTGTCCCGATGGTGTTCCAGAGATGTCCTGATTGGTGTCCTGATGGTACCCACGTGGTGTCTCGATGGTGTCTCGGTGGTGTCCCAGTTGGTCTCCCGATTGGTGTTCCGATGGTGTCCCCATAGTGTCCCCATGGTGCCCCGATGGTGCCCCAATGGTGTCCCCATGGTGTCCAGATGGTGTCCAAATGGTGCCCCGATGGTGTCGCAATGGTGCCCAAATGGATGCCTCGATGGTTGTCCCGTGAGATCGATAGATATAAATACATACATGTATATGAGATCGATAGATCGATAGATAGACACAGATAGATATATAGATATATAATAATAAGAAAGTGGACTTGATTGTGAGATGGATAGAAATACATTGACCGTGAGACTGGTGTATTCATCGAACGACCGATAATAAGATCATATACTGTGACCGATACCGAGATAATGCGGTCGATGTTGAGACCGATGAACCGATAGTGAGACCGGTAGTGAGATTGACAAAATGAGATCGATAATGAGATCGATAGCGGAACTGGTAATAAGATATATAGTGAGACCGTGAGCGAAATCGATAAACATATAGTGAGATCGATAGTGAGGTCGATAGCGAGACTTATAGGGAGGCCGATAGTGAGATCGATAGACAATTAGTGGACGGATGGACCACAATAGTGTCCCGATGGTGGCATTTACAATGTCCCCAGGGTGTCCCGATGGTGTCCGATCGCAGTTGTCATCAGTTGGTCCCCCCCACACAACCTCTTTATCACCCGAAGGGTGGTCGTATAGGCATTAGCATGCGTGGGTGATGCTGGCGGCAGAGTGACAAGACGGGAGGAGGAGGAATACGACGGTGATCCATAGCTCCGACATCGTGGTTATCTTAGCACGAGGCCCCCAGCTCCTCGCGGCCACTGCCCAATTCGTCATCCTGGGCAGTCTGCTAGTGGTGTCGGGGTGCGTTCGGAGCGGGTTTCTGGGGCCAGGAACCGTGGGAACTCGCAGGCACTGAACTCAATTCGCGACGGCACGGCGGAGGTCTGGGGCTTGCTTTCGAAGGGGATGAAGCTGCCGACAGAATGATGTCATGATGCGAGCTCGGAGTACATAGCGGCCCTCGTTTCTGGAGCCCGTGCGGAACTGCAGGACACTTGGGCAATCTGGAAACACAGAGAAATCTTGAAGAAACGTATCTTTGATTCTTGTTCCTCTGACTGCCAAGCCCCGCCAGCCCCGTGGGGGTAGCCGTCCTCGAGGCCCGGGGGCAACGACGCGGCCAAGGCCTGCCGGGCACGTCTGCTCCTGCTCCTGTTCCATCCCCTTCTTTCTAAATAGCTCCCCTCCGTCGCACCCCGAAACGTGTCGGTAGGGCGGGTCGGGCATTTTGCCGGAGCCTTCCTTTCCATTCATGACCATCGAGCTCCAAACTATGTGCGACAGTTTCATGGATGGAAGGCGGGTCGTTTTCAAAATGTGGCTCTCGCACTAGCGCCGCGCACATTCGTCTTCAAAGTTTTCTGGGGCTTCACGGTTGGGGAACGGGCCGTTTTCAAAATGTGGCCTCAGCGCCGCCCACATTCTTTCTGGTAAATTGCAAGAGCTTCGCGGATGGAGAGCGGGGCGTTTTCAGAATGTGGCTCTCGCCTTAGCCCCGCGCACATTTCGCGGGGCTGAGGCGAGAATTCGTGGATGGGGGACGGTTCCCGCTCAAAATGTGGCTCTCGCCTGCGTGCACCGCACATTCGCATAACAAGTTACAGCAGCTGACATTCCAGAACTGATGTTTTGGAACGATGTAAGACTGTCAGAGCGCAGCATCCACGTTGATGCGCGGTGCTGAAATCACAGGAATGGTGTTCTGGAGCGGTTCAGGATCGTCAGGACGCAGCACTAACGTTGATTCGCGGAGTGAAATTCCAAGAATAATCGTGCTCTGGCACGGCTCAAGATTAAAAAACGGTTTTTTTCTAACGGGCACTCCCCTCAGTGAAAATACATCCTTGTAGGGACCTATAAGAGAGAACTTGAAAGAAAAAAATTGCAACATCGTTAATGCGTACGGGGTTTGCACCAATTTCGCCCTTCCACCCTCCTCCTCCCTCTCCTCATGTTCTCTATCCTTTCGTTCCCCTTCCTCCCTGTGTTCGTCGGTGTCTTCACATGTTCACCCTTATTATGTGTATGTTCCAGTTTCGTCCACACACATCCTTGTCCATTCATGTGTTGGGTATATCTG